AAATCTTAAAAAATGAAATTTGTTGTGTAAGCTTATGAAACTGTCAAACAATAATTTAAGAATTTACAAGTCCACAGTGCGACAGGGTCCCACCGCAGGGTAGTCCAGCCTCCTGGCTTACCAATAGGAGGAGAACCTCTGGGCACTACTTCTCTACCCAGTGGATACTTATCCTTCCTCTCCACTTCACTGGTCATTGCAGTGTGGCAGGGATGCTGAGATGCTGACAGACAGCATGCTTCCCATGCAGCAGAGGGACAGCCATACAGAGCCATTACTGTGAGCCGAGAGCTGTGTGGCTGGGAACCCTGTATAATGAGCACATGAGATCCTGTGAACACTCCTGAGGCTTAGCATCACTCGGGAGGGTCAATGTTCAGGGCCAGCAAAATGGCTCTCTGAGGAAAGGGCCTTGCTGACAGGCTCAGACCTGAGCTTAATCCCTGGAACTCACATGGTAGAAGAGAAATGAGTCTGCAAGTTGTCCCTTACACACACACCTGTGCTCCAGTGTTTAAACACACACAGACACACAGACACATTACCACACACACACACACAGACACTTACGCATACACACACACACAAATAAATAAATGTAATGCAATAAAAACAAATCTTAAATTCATCATATTGAGTTTGAGTTCAACCTGGAACTCTGTCTCAGGAAGGAAGGAAGGAAAGAAGGAAGGAAGGAAGGGAGGGAGGGAGGGAAGAAGGAAGGAAAGAAGGAAGGAAGGGAGAAAGAAAGAAAGAAAAACAAGTTTTAAATTTCAAAAGTACATTCCCTAAGTGGCTGGCTCTGCAACCTTACAGTATGTGCAGCCTTTTATCCTCCCACAGCCCAGAGCAGGTCATGGCAGGAACCCTGACTCCTTTGAGAACAGTTAACTTCTTTCTCCTTTGTTCCTCTGTGGACTCACTGCACTCCAGCCCAGCCTGCCCAGTTAGTTAGCTGGTTCTTCATGTGTCCTCTCCCACCTCTGGCCCCAGCTAGCTGGGAGGAAGACAGTACCCAGGAGAGCTGCAGCGGCTGTCTACAGTCCTGGCCTGGCTCTATCCCTTCCACCTTGGCCTGGGTTGTGTCTCTTTACAGAGTGACCATGTCTTCATTACATACAAAAAGCATGACATATATAGAAAATCTATATGACATGGGAGCTTTCAGAAACAAAGACCCCGGGGAGCTGTCCGTTTTTAAGCTTAGGTACCTTGAAAGCACAGTCGTGTAGAAGTGTGAGGATCTGATCTAGTGACTACAAACTAAGCAGGCTGTACAGGGTCTGTCTGCTTGGACGCTTCTTGACCTCTCTGCAACATTCCTCTTTCTGAGTGTGAGGCAGGACCTGTGAGTACATTGGAGGTTTGTTTGTGGGGAGTGGTTGTCTAAGTTGTTTTTCTATTGCTGTAAAGAGCACCATGACCACAGCAAATCTTATAAAGGAAAGCATCTAATTGGGGCTGGCTTACAGTTCAGAGGTTCAGTCCATTATCGTCATAGCGGGAGACATGAGGGTCCACAGGCAAACATGGTGCTGGAGAAAGAGCTGAGAGTTCTACATCTTGATCTGAAGGCAGCAGGAGGAGAGAGTGACACACTTCCTCCAAGACCACATCTACCCCAAGGAAGCCAGACCTCCTAATAGTACCATTCCCTATGGCCCTGCGGGGACTATTTTATTCAAACCGCCACAGTAACTTATAAAAGAAAATGTTTAATGGGGCTCATGGTTCCAGAGAATAAGAGTCCATGATTATTACAGTGGGAAGCGAGGCAGTAGGCAGGTAGTAGCTGAGAGCTCGTATCTTGACCCACAAGTCAGAAGCAGAGAGATAGATAACTGGGAATGGTTTAGGCTTTGAAACTTCAAGGGCTGCCCTAGTGACACCTCTTCCAACCAGGCTGCACCTTCTAATTCTCCCCAAACACTTTCACCAACTGAGATCCAAGCATTCAAACCTATGAGCCTGTGGGGGCCATTCTTACTCAAAACACCACAGGGGAGCAGGGTTTCATTTGGCCTAGGCTGGCCTTGAACTCCTCTATCCTCCTGCTTCCACCCTTGAGAGAGTGCTGGGATTATAGATACATGCTACCACCCTGTTTATACAGTTCTAGACATCCCACCCAGGGCCTCGTGATACTGAGCAAGCATTCTACCAAAGGAGCAAAATCAACAAAATCAACAAATCATATCTCTCTCTCTCTCTCTCTCTCTCTCTCTCTCTCTCTCTCTCTCTCTCGTGTGTGTGTGTGTGTGTGTGTGTGTGTGCGTGTGCTGTTGAAATTCATAGCTATACACATACTGGGAAAATGCACTATCACTGGGCTACACCCTAATACTTATAAACAGTGCAGAGGGCTGGAGAGATGCTTCAGCAGTTAAGAATACTCACTGTTCTTCCAGAGGACCTGGGTTTAGTTCCCAGCATCCACATGACAGCTCACAGCCACCTGCAACTCCAGTGCCAGAGGATCAGTACCTCTTCTGACCTCTGCAGACTCCTACATGTTCACAAAAATACACTCGGGCACACACACACACACACACCAGAGTTAAATAAATAAATATTTCCAAAAGCTCAGGGTAAAGGGCCAGGGAGATGGCTATATGGTTAAAGGCACTTGTCACACAAGCCTGATGTTTGATCCCCAGGACCCATGTAAGATGCCAGATGTGGTAATATGCATCTGTAATCCTAGCATCCTTACAGAAAGCGGGAAGTGGAGATTGGAGGATCACGCAGATTCTAGCATAGTATGCTCAGAATGGCAGAAACAAGGAGAGACCTTGGCTCAAAACCAAGGTAGAAAGGTGAAGATCAACTCAAGGAAGTTGGTCCTCTTACTTCCACATAGGGGCATGGCATGAACACCTACATATCAACATACAATCTAAAAAAACATGATTAAGAAATAAACATTACAGGATGTATTGCCAGACATTGTGGAAACAATCTGGCTAATGTGTATAATTTTTATGTCAGTTAAATAATCTTATATAATAAACCAAAATTAGACCCAAGTAAAGGCACATGCCTGTGATCCCAGCCCTTAGGAGAACAGAACAGGGCACTCTCAAGTTCACGGCCAGCCTGGACTACACACAAATACTCTGTCTAGAAACAAAAACAGAATAGCTGTCCATTACAATGATAGACTTGTAGTTGGCCTTCCTTCTGGGCTAAGGGTTGTGCTTTCAAATGGGGTTTGAAACTAGGCTTTTCCTCTGCCCCCAAAACTCTCCTCATCTACCTAGAAAACAATCTTATCTGGGGATCTGTGGTCTGGATGTCATCATGTGTCCACTCTGGTGGTTTCAAGGGTTCCCATATGGCTTCTATTCTTGCAGCCCTGCCCTGACAGGATCCACGCCCAAGAGCCCAGGCAGGGCAGCTTCCTCGTCCTGAGAGCTCTCAGCAGGACTGAAGGCTCAGCAGGGGAACATTTCTGCTAACTGTCCAGACAGAATATTCTCCAACTTTTGCTATGCTGAGTGGCTGGTGCCTCGTATATCTATGGTCAAAAGCTGTGTGCATTGACCACTCACACCAGACACAACTCTGATCATTTGGAACTTTACTTAGGCTATGATGATAACGTCCCTTGTCCATGCTGTGGTAAACAGATGCTATAACACTGAACCCCGACCCCTTCTTTTTTGGACAAGGTCTCTCTTACTCTGTTGCCCAGGTTGGCTTTGAACTGCTGGACTCTATAGAGTCCTCCAGCCTCTGCTTCCCTTGTGGTGGAGGCTACTCAACCATCAGCTGCAAAGCCCTTTCCTGCCTTCAGGTCCTGTCTCCTTTCCTTACCCAGGCTTCAGAACCCTGGATGGAAGGAGAGAAGCATCCACACTCTCTCCTCCATGCTCATGGTTCGGAATGCATCCACCCACCCCGCTAAACAGATAAATAAGAACTAAACATGCTCTCACTTCATAAGCCAGGCAGGCTTTGATTTTGTGGTATTGCTTTGCCTCGACTTCCCAAGAACTGCTATTTATAGGGCTGGTCTGACGTACCTTCTTTTACCTCTTTCTTTCTTTTTCAAGATTCATTTATTTTATGTATTCACCATTGCTCTCTTCGGATACACCAGAAGAGGGCATCAGACCCCATTGCAGATGGTTGTGAGCCACCATGTGGTTGCAGAGAATTGAACTCAAGACCTCTGGAAGAGCAGTCAGTGCTCTTAACCACTGAGCCATCTCTCCAGCCCCTTCCTTTCTTTCTTTCTTTCTTTCTTTCTTTCTTTCTTTCTTTCTTTCTTTCTTTCTTTCTTAATGTATTTTATGAAATTCTCTTGAAATCCAATAAGCTTGAAGTAGAAATTCAAACATAGTAAGAACTGAGCTTCGAATTTTTTCAGATCTATTTATTTTATCTTACGTATATGAATGCCTTACCTGCCTGTATGCGTGTGCATTGTGTGTCTGGCGCCTGCAGAGGACAAAAGAGGGTGGTTGGATCACGTGTACATCATTGAGAGCAGCCGCGTGGGTGCTGGGAACCGAACCCGGATCATCTGGAAAAATAACAAGTGCTCTTAATCACGGAATCACCTCTCCAGCCCTCACTTTTTTCTTTATGGACATGAATTAATTCACTGAGCCTCACAAAGATGATGAGGTAGGTACTGTACTAATTCTTGTGCAGGGGAAGGAAGGGAGGGGAGAGGAAGTCCTGCACAGATACCAACTGTTATCACACCAACAATTTCAGCCTGCTTGCCCCAGGCTCTTATGGCTGCAGGTGGTTCCACCACCTCACCTCGATCCCTCCTGGGCAGCCCGTTGGGCCCTAGGCTGCAGAAATCCCGACCTTCTGCTTGAAGTACAGCCGCTGGGTGAGGCCTAGGCAGTCGTGGTAGCAGGAGCCTGAGCCTTGCAACAAGAGCCAGCTGCTAGACGCCGTCTCCTAGCAACCGGCCGCAGTCACGTGGCCGCGCGGGTTGGCCTCACGCCGTTGGAGCTGGCGCAACGCGACGGGCGGGGCCAGGAAGTTTGTTCCCGAGTTCGGAGCCCAGGAGTCCCCGTGGCCGTCGCTCAGGTGCCTTCCGCCGGGTCGGGATGGAGCTGCCTGCGGTGAACTTGAAGGTGGCCGCGCGGCCGGGGCGGGCGGGGGTTCAGGAACCTAGGGAACGGAGTCGGAGCAGAAGGGAAGGCGCAGAGCCCCGGGGAGGAGGCGGCGGACACCGAGAGGGACACCTGGGGACAGAGACGGACAGGGCCGCCCCTACCGGATAGACCCAGGCTGGCACGGGTCCCGGACCGCCCGGGCCGGTGTTCCTGGTGTCCCCGACAGCAGGACAGGGACACCTTTCCTCCTGAGAGGTCAGTGCGGTCCGGGTGGGTCCTTCTGTGTGCTGGTGCAAGTTAGGAGAAATCCGGTGTCCCCAAACAAATGCTTCTCCCTAATTTCCGCATGCAGCGTCCTTATTTCGTAATTAAGGAGCAGGAACTGGAGAGGTTTCCTAAAAGCAAAAAACCCCAGAGCCTGTGCTGGGCTCTGGGCAGCCGGGCTGCCTACGATGTCTTCATTTCCTAAGTTATTTTTCTCACTCAGCCTTCCTCGTTTGCAACAGAGGTGCTGGCCACTTAGCTTCGGCCAGAGCGGTGTGGACCTGGAAGTAAACCGGCCATCTTGGGCCTTTGGTGCAAACTCCTTGAAACCCTCAGATTCCCAGATGTTAAAACCATTTAGCACCACCCTTCTGTGTCTGAGACGAAAGGGACGGAAGATAAGAGATGGCTTTGGAGCAGTTGAGTGATTTACACATGGGCTGGGCTCTGACTTGCTCTGGCCGGTTTCCCATTCCTAAGCGGCTGGCTAGCAGCTGGAGGGAGATGGTAGCAAAGGAATGAGCTTGAGTGGATCCATTATCTAGGGAGAGATTTACAGACGACTGCAGGGCTTGGTGTGAGGCAGCCTAGCGGTCAGGCTCTGCCTTATTCTGCTCAAACAATTACGAGGACAGCATGAGTCTCAATGGTAGAACATCTGAGTAACTCACACCAGGACCGGGGTTGCATCCCAGTACTGCACACTAACAAATAATAATAAAACATAGGAACAGGTGAGAAAAATGTGGTATTTATGGGCTGATATGTTTTATTCATTTGAGTTAGGGACTCGTGTGGTACAGGCTAGCCTTGAACTTTCTGTGTAGCTGAGGATGGCCTCAAACTTCTGATCCACCTGCCTCCACCTCTCCAGTGTCAGGATTGTACAGTATTGGGGATGAAACCCAAGGCTTCTCGAAGGATAAGGAAACACTCTACAACTGAGCCATATCCCCAGCCTATGTTGCTTTTCTTAATCCCAGTCCTCCACTGAGAAAGCTGAAGCTGTCCTCTGTTGTTTTTGTTTACTGCTATCTAGCTCTGGCTGACCTGGAACTCACTACACAAATCAGGCTGTCTGAATTCACAAGGGATCTGCTTGCTCTTGTCTCCTGAGTGCTGGGATTAAAGACATGCACCACCATACCTGACCAGAGGAGTTTTGTTCCTTTATTGGGGTGCAAACTTCAGCTTAGATCATACAAGTAAATTGCCAGAGTCTCCCAAGAAATAAGTGGTATAGTCAGGATTCGATCCCCTGAAGATGCAGCTCCAGTGCTTTCCATTTCCTGGTATCAGTTGCTTAGTGCTAACTTTGATTTTGATAGCCTACGTCAACTTTTAAAACCTGACAGGTACAGTGTACCCGTCACAAATGTGAGCTAGCAGGCTTTTGGGCCCTGAATGCAAAGACTAGGCCCTCCCCTGATCTGATTGAAAAGCCCCTTGGATCTTATCGGTGGCCAGTCAGAAGCAAGTGAGTACTAGGGGCTGTGAAGTAATGCGCAGGAAGGACATCCAGTCACTTTTGGGCTTCTCATCAATGACAAAGTTTTACTGTGTGTCTCAGTATTGGGGACACACTGAATTATTCACAAGCTGAAATTCAGAATGAGCCTGGGTGTTCCGTTGTTTTGTCTGCAAGATCTGGTAACCCTATGGAAGGCAGCTGGGACGCCATGGCTGCCCCTTTCAGTCCACCCTGTCTTTTAAAAGGCGTCCTCTATTCTCAGCACTTGGCCCAGGCTCTGTGAAAGAAGTCAGTCCCTAACTGAGCTTCACTCATGTTTGTCTTAAGCAGGAGCTAAGCTTGAAGCTGTTCAGGTTGGACTAGGCTTGTGAAGCCCTGGGAGGGGGGAGGAGGGAGCAGGGAGCCGGCCAGCACCGAGGCCTGCTGTGGTGTTTGATGTACCTCTACCACACTCCTCCAGAGTCAAGGAGCCCCTGCTGCACTGAACAGGAGGTGGCCATTGTGTGTCAGGCGACTTGCCCAAGTTCATGTGTGGAGCTAGGATCCGTTCCATGGTTTGACTCCAAAGTCTGCCAGATGACCAGGGCAGGACCTGCCTCTCCTCCTGGGTAGCCCTTGAATTTAGCAGTCCTGGGGGCATCCTACGGCTTTGTCTAATAGGCAACCAAATGTTTGCACAGGACATACAGGGATGTATTAAGTTGAGTTCTGGGACCTCTCCAACCCCTCCTCCTTAGGGAGTGGTGAACAAAGGCTTGTTTTGTTTTCTTGTGGTTGAGTACCACATGCCAGGCAAGTTTTCTACCACTGAAGCACAGTCCATAGTCCCAAAGGGTTAATTAATCCTCAGGGCCTGTAGACTTCTGCTGACCCATCCTTTTCTAAGTTAAACTTCACTTCCCTCCGCCCCGCCTTTGACCTTGAAGATCCTGACAGTGGAGAGAGGGCCAGGCTTTGACAGAGTTATCTGTGTGACATTGAGGAGGTTTCTTGACCTCTCTGTGTATCAGTTTGCTCACTGTAACAAGAGATGAAGACAAGCTGTGACTTTTAGGGTGATGAGGGGATTCAAAACTCAGACCACGTGTCCGGTAGTGATGGTGTAAGAAGAGATGAGTGCTGGAGAAGGTGCTTCTTCTTTCTTCTCCTCCAGTCGGTTCTTCTTGAGGCAGCCGAAGAGGATGGGAAGAGCGTCGGCAGTGGGTAAGACCTAGGGTTAGGCTACTGTAGCTGGCCTGCCCTCTGGTATCCTCTGTCCAGAAACTGCAGTTTCTGGCCACTAGCACCTCAGCCCAGGGACAGCAGAGGATTAGGCAATGCCTTTGCACTCTCTCTGCTGGAGCTGCCAGGCTCTAACTTAGGTCTGTTGGTTTGAGATCGCAGGAAGAAAAGACACTTAAAGAAGTTATTGTAGTTTATTACTAAGTGTAAAAAGTTTCCTATGAAAGCTATCTAAGAGAAAAAGCAGGAAGGTCCTAAGTGGGGAAAAAGGAAAAAATTTTAACAAAGGAAAAATTTTAAGTGGAGAGATTCTAAGCAGGGAAGAAAGAAGAAGGAAAGAAGAAAGAGAGAGAGAGAGAGCCAAAAAGAGTGGGAGAGAGAAAAGGTGAGCCACTAACGAACGTCCCTTTGTCTTATACATCATTCAGAGTACCTGATCACATGTTACAAAGTTCTTCACAAGTTCACGCCAAAATTCAAATCGTAAATTGAAATCGAAGTTTACAACAGAGAATGTTTACATGCATATCCATTAGGAGTAATTATCTGACTAAACATCCATCACCTGTCTAGCTCCACAGGTTCACCGAAGGTTTAAAACTATAACTAAGAAATTAGTGAAGTTTTGTATAGATAAACCCAGGCAATATTTTCTCTTCTGTCCTAGCACCTATAATAAATCATGAGTTCCCTTTGAGTGACACTTGGTTAATTGTTTTACAACCACATTGGAATGTGTTCTGAGCAGGAGAGAGTCTGGTTACTATCTAAGGGCAAATAAACTGATGACACTTGGGAGACTGGCAGAGTTTTCATTGCAGTTTTGATGATCAGAAAGGGACTTAATAGCAGTCCCACTATAAAAGAGCTTAATAATCATTGATATAATTTTAGGAATTCTTTTAGGATCATCATTAAGACTTAAGAAGTCATCTATTTGTCTATATAGCATCACTACAAGACAGTACATCTTCGTGGGTCTGCAGAGATCTGCTCCAAAGGGATGTGTTATTGCTTAGTGATTGTTGCATATGTTTAGTAATAATAATAGGAAAAGCATATTAATAGCAGGATCTTTCCTAAAATATGTCCGACCACAGCCTTGCTGAATGGGGCACACTTGCCGCAGATTATATAATAATCTGAGGCAAGCATTTCAGGATGATCAACTGCTAATTATTAGCTTGTCCGATTATGGCTCGTGACAGACGAGGATCTTTGTGAGTTCGAAGCCAGCATGGTCTAAGAGTGAGTTCCAGGACAGCCAGGGCCGCACAGAGAACCCTGTCCCAAACAAAACAAAACAAAAACAGAGAAATAAAACAAACAAAAAACAACCTTCAGACCAGAAAACAGGTCGTCTACCTTTGCAAGCCCCTGAAACAAAGCCAGACAGAAAGCAAGCTCAGAACAGGGGTGGTTGATCTGGGCTTTGCATCTGAGCTGTCGTTTGGCTTTCAAATTGGACCTGGTGTTCTGAGTCTCTCTAGAGAGTTCTGCTCCAGTTGGCCCTGGAGACAGCGTAGGCAGAAGGTTCCATGGAGTGTGGTCTAGAAGTAGGGCTTTGACAGAATTACTGCAGAGCGAGGATTCGCCCCAGGAATGAGGTGGACAAGCATAGGGACATCAAATGACAGGAACTGGCAAGCACCTGCTTCTCCTGAAGCCAAGGTTCCCTGTGTGATACACACCATCTCTACGATACAGAGAGGGTCCTGTATTTTCTGTCCAGCGTCAGTGACCCCTGCTGCCCTGACCTGTTGGCCTCATTTGGGGAAGAGAGTCCCCCAGCTCTGGCTCTGCTCCCTTCCATCTGTGGCCTGGTTCCTTCCCAGTTTCTCTCTGAGAAGCCTCAGACTCCTGTTTCCCTGAATAGGAGCTAGCAGGTTCCTGGCTACTGGTTCCTACTGCTGTGCATTTCCAGGAAGGGCTAGGCCATTTGGCTCTGTTTCTCCCTGCAGCTTACTTGAAAGTCATACCACTGAGGACTTTGTAATGTTCCCATTACAAAGATAGGGAAACTGAGGTATTAGAAGCTTAGTCTCTTTTTTCGTTTTGTTTTTGTTTGTTTGTTGTTGTTTGAGACTGGGTTTCTCTGTATAACAGCCTTGGCTGTCCTGGAACTCTCTTTATAGACCAGGCTGGCCCTAGACTCAAAGAGACCCACCTGCCTCTTCCTCCTGAGAGCTGGGATTAAAGGTGTATGCCCTCATGCCCAGCCTGAGGAGCAGTTTCTTGATAGTCCTTTGCATGCGTGTCCTGTACTATCTCTCTGCCATTTGCCCTTGAGACAGGCGCTCCCACTGAACCTGGAGCTAACTGATTTGGCTAGACTAGCTGGTCAGCGAGCCAGGCATCCTCCTGCAGAGTTCCTTCCTGTAGGCAGGTTTGACAGTGCCTGGGCCTTTTCCTGCCTGCCTGTCTTGGTAGAGTACACTGCCTGCTCTCAGCTTAACCAGTAGTTCTTGGTCTCCCAGGAAGTCTGTGCCTCCACTGGGGCCTCTGCCTGGGCCACACCCTCCTCCCACTCAGAGGGCTGGTCCTGGCTCCCTGCCTTGGCTTGACTGATTTCTTAGTTGCCCTCAGCACTAGTCCTGGAAGCCTGTAACCCGCTGTAGCTGACAGTGCCCAGATCTTCTCAGGGCATCCGCCCTTCCTATCTTAGGTGTCTAGGCAGTGCCCTCTGGATTACCCGACGAGGCATATCCAGGGCCAGGGATGTGATTTCAAGGATGTCAAACACAGTCAAAAGATACTGTAGAAATCCATGCAGGGTGGAGGGATTTTGTCCTTCACATGAGTCATGTGATGTCTCAAGCTCCCCTCGGTCATTAAACTTGAAAACTGAGCTGCCGGCCGCTGCTTTCTCACCTCCACCCTTACTGTGTTTTTATATGTTTTGAAACAGGCTTAGGTTAGTCTTGAACCCCTGATCCTCCTGCCTCCACACCCCACCCACTCCTAGTGCTGAGACTCCAGGCGTGCACAGCTGTGCTTGATTTATGCAGTTTATTCAATTGGGGATTGAACTCAGGGCCTCAAGCACTCTAGACAAGCAGTCTACCAACTGAGTCCCAGCCCCACCTCCTTGCTCCCCAACCTGCAACCCTTAGCCACTGTGGTTGCCGTCCCATTGGCCCAAAGCTCTGGGCAGGTCCTAAGAACTCTCCCCTTGTTGGAGGTCCCTCCTATTTTCCCATTCAGGGAGTGATTCCAGGGTTCATGGTCTGGGCTCCCTAGAGGAGCCCCAGCCCTTGGAAACAGGGAGAGTGGCACCTGCAGCTGGCCAGGGTCCTCTTTACCACAGACTCTTTACCGTTGCTGGAGTTTAAGACACTTGTGAGACCCTTGTAGGTGCCAGGCAGGAGCCTCCCGTGTGTTCCAGAAACGGTTCACCACCTGTGACTTGGCATTCGCAGACTTATCTAACCCCTATCCTTGTACCACAGGTTATTCTCCTGGTTCACTGGCTGTTGACAACCTGGTAAGTGACTCTGGATGTCTGGCTGTATTCACAGTCTCCTGGCTGTGTGTTGTGTCACCTGGGGTCTTTGTCTGCACTTCCCTGGGGTCAGTGTGTGCGTGCTCCCGGGTCCTGTCAGCCTGGTCAGATCCTGTTCTGCAGTGTTTCAGTCCATCACATTTAGCAGGGCTGGGTCTGCTTTCCGTCTGCACAGCGGGATAAGGATTGGCCCCCTCGGCAGTGCACACTAACCAAGCCCCTAAGTGGGGCTCCGGGATGCAGCTTGACCTCGCTGTCACTTTGGTCATGTGTCTGGAGCTGCCAAAAACAAGTCAGGAAACCACTGAGATCACGTGTGCTTTGAAGGGCAGTCCCCAGGCCAACAGCTGTGAACGATGTAATCAGCAGGGGGTGGGGTGTCACTTTCCCTGAAGGATGAGCTCACACGTGCTTTCCCGAGACAGAGGAAAGGAGGAATGGAAAACATGGGGCCTCTTGGCCTAATTGCTAATTCCAGTGTTCCAGTCCCAGCCCTGCTGATGTTTGGGTCCCAAAGAAACCCAGGCGAATTGCCTCCGTACCTGTGGCCCCTCCTAGTTCTCCCAACATCATTCAGTACCTGTAGCACCGCCCAGCTCTCCCAACAACACTCAGTACCCGTGGCCCCTCCCAGCACTTCTCACTCCGCCCCCTACCCTAAACCTTTCCAGCCCACGATCTGGGCTTCCCTTCCCCCAGCTTCCGGATCCGTTTTGGCTACCTGCTCTCTTGGTTCTGCTCTTGGCTCCTCTCCTGGACCTCTTTTTGCCCCCTCTCCTCTTTCCTCTTTCTCTTGCTCTGATGCCCTCCCCCACACCTTTCACGGCCCTGTTCAGTTTGTTGGCCATACTCAGTCTGGACCCTTGCAGATGCCTCTGCTGTCTCTCGCTCATATCTGCAATAAAACCTCCTCAGCCATACCTAGGAGTGGGCAGGACTCATGTTCATTCATTGTGCGGCTGTGTGACCTGGTTAGTCACCTATTAGGTCTGTGACTTTGAGTGTGTAAAATGAGGCTCATTAACAACACCTCCCTCCAAGAGCAGCTGTGAACGAATGAATTTAGAACGATTGGGGAGCGCCAGGTCCCAGGAAGTTCCCTGTGTTAACTGTGATACGCCGGCTCAGTAAGCAAACTAGTAGGTAGTATCAGTTGATAAGAGCTAATCTGAAAACTTCAGCAAGGAGGGCCTTGGTCAGGTCGACGTGGGAGTGGATCTCTCAGGCTACGTTTGAGGTCTAAGATGGCAAGAAATGTCTGTGTGTTCAGGAAAACGAAGCCTCGGAGGTGTAGCAGCCCGGAGGTAAGGGTGGGGCTCTCACTGGAACCCCGCAGACTACAGCAAAAAAGGTATCTTATTCCAAACCATTAGAAAGGTTGGTGTTGAGTCACATGATGTTTGCACACTGCTTGCTATTTCAAGAACTGCCTGCAGGGGTCAGGAGTGACTATTCTCAGAGGAGGCTAAGACCCTGGAGCAAGGGGAAGGAACTGGGGGAGGGGTGGGCAGCTCCAGGGGTGACAGGCTGACTGATAGTATCTCTCTATGCAGGGGCTGCTTGGTGTTCTCAGGCTCCTATGCTTGGGGAAACTTCACTATCCTGGCCCTGGGGGTGTGGGCTGTGGCCCAGAGGGACTCTATTGATGCCATAGGCATGGTGAGTTGATGGGGGGGAGACTGGCTCCATCCGTGTACCCCTCATCTCCCCCAGTCTTCTCTCTTCCTTATATCCCACCCTTTTCTGTTCTAAAGCCCTGCACATGGCAAACCTAGCTAGGCCACCTACACAGCAGTCTGCCTCTGCTGTTGTCCCTCCCAAGACAGACATGGGGGCAGGTTACAGAACCCCAGTGGCTCCTCAGGAGAGCTACAAAGGGATCACCCCTTGTTTTCTTGCAGTGTAGACAGATGGGATGGACTCCAAGGGGTTCCCTCTCAGAAGTTCTGGAGACAGGCCCCTCATGACTCCAACAGCAGGAGATGGGGGTGGGGAATCCTGGGGCAACCGGCTAGAGCCAGGCTCCTGTGTCCTACTCCTAGGCCATGCTGGTGCCAGTCACAAGATGCCAGTCACCAGGCTGGTGTGTGTGAGGGAAGCTTGGGGTCCGGTGGGGAGTCAGTGACCATGACCCTGTGATGGTGTTCCTTGCAGTTCCTTGGTGGCTTGGTGGCCACCATCTTCCTGGACATCATCTACATTAGCATCTTCTACTCAAGTGTGGCCACTGGGGACACCGGCCGCTTCGGTGCCGGCATGGCCATCCTCAGCTTACTGCTGAAGCCCTTCTCTTGCTGCCTCGTCTACCACATGCACCGTGAACGAGGGGGGGAGCTCTCCCTCCGCCCGGGTAAGTCCCACTCAACCCTGCCTCCCCCCTGGCCCAGCTGCCAGTCTGGTATGACTTCTTCCTGCTGACAGACTATAGGCAGACTTGGCGGTCCTCCCTCAGCCCAGAGTACAAGCAGAGCCATGGAGGTGTTCGGCTCACAGAGGCAGCAGGGAGCCTCTCCTGCAGGCCTGCAGATGGGGCTGCAGGGACAGCGCCTTCCTTCTGTTTCCGGCCAGCCCTGGCTCTGGAGGTGTGCTCTCCTGCCATGTGGGGCGTACCCCTTCCCTGGGTAGGCAGGCCAGGGAACCCTGTGTGCCAGCCTTCTAGCCTCTGGCCCAGCCCACACTGTCCTCTTTGGTAGTGGGGCAGGCCATTTTCCTGCCCTGTCTGACCCTGTTCTCCTGTGGGAGCTGGGCATGGTCCAGGTAGCCTGGGGATCCCATGAGAGAGGACAGAGCCAGCGCTATGGCTGCCCACGCTGGTTTATCTCACTGATCACCTAGACCTGCCCGGGTGTGAGGGGGTCAGATGGGGGAAGGAAGGAAGGTCCACTGCCCCTGGGACTTGTTCATGGTCTCAGGACAAATGTACAGAGGGAGAAATGTGAGAGACACAGGTGCCTTCTGTCCTGTCCTGTACCCCCAGCCCCAGCCTTCTGCGTACAGCGACTGTGCCAGGCTCTGTGGCTTCTAGAAGTGGTGATTTATATGGATCCTGGTGCCTGGCAGAGAGCCTGTGGGTTTAGGACTAACCACCCCTCGTCAGATACCTGATCGTGTGCTGCTGGGGGCAGAGATGGCACAGGAGCCAGTAGCCATTGTCCATAGGACCTGCGTTTAGTTTGGAACCCAGTGTCATCTGCTTCAAGCCACCAAATCAGCCTGTCTCTCTGACCCTCAGATTTCTCTCATCTGCAAATCTACCCATACAGATGCTAGGATTGAGTGGATGCTGCGTGCCTAAGCCCTGGTGTCTGGGCTTCCGCTGCTGCCCGTCGTCCTTGGTATCATGATTCTGAACACTAGCCATGGCAGACGATGGATCTGTCTGTGCTTAGCAAAAGGCCTCACGGTCGGTCTCATTTTTCTCTATCCACATGTTCCGTCCTCTAGATTTCTTCGGACCGTCTCAGGAGCATAGTGCCTACCAGACAATTGACTCATCAGATTCACCTGCAGACCCCTTTGCAAGCCTGGAGAACAAGGGCCAAGCTGTCCCCCGGGGGTACTGAAGCTGTTCCTGGCCATCCTGGTGCCCAGCAGGATGCTTGTCACCCTCTTTACGTGGACTACAATGGGGCATCCTCCACTGCAGAGGTGCCTGAGTCATGTGCCTTTGGAGGTCAAGAGCTGAGAGGAGCCCAGTCCTAACTCTCCAGGCTGCCCTGCCCCTCCCTTCCAAAGACCTGTTAACCCCTGGGCTAGAACTGTGATTGGTTTCTTCCCCTCCTACCCCATAACTATAGCACACTCCTACCGAGCTGTGCAGAGTGCTCAGGGCCAGCCAGGCCTTTACAGGTCAATGATCAGTACCCCAAGATGATCCAGCCCTTCCTAGAAGCTCTGTGAACTGTGAGCTTCTGGTCCTGCTCAGCCCTTCTGCATAGGAGCAAAGTTTAGTGCCTCTCACTGCCTCATGACTTGGTGCATGGGAACCCCAGGCCTGGATGCAGTAGGTCTGCAGAGGCCCCTCTCAGAGCCCTGACATTAAAGGTCAGGGGTTTTGTGGCTGTGCTGTGTTTGAGCCATGTTTGAGCTCCAGGCTCGGACCTGCCTGCGATCTTGGTGTGATTTCACCTTTGAATCAGTTATAGGTGGAACATGGTCTGAGCCACCCATTATATCAAGCCTGGTAGAAGGAAGGGCCCCTTTGGGCCTCCCTGGAGGAGTCTGGCTCCAGCTAAACAAGGTGACAGAGGAAGTGTTGGTCAGTGTGGCATGTAGACAGACATCTGTCCTCTGAATCTCAGTGACTTAATTTCACTGCCTCTGATACTGAGCCATGAGCCAGGGCATGGGTGGCTTCCTCTAGCCCTGCGTTCTGATCACAGTCGACTGCTTCCCGAGGGGCTAGGGCTCCCACTCTTGCTCACTCCCAGAACTCTGGGGACAGATACTTGAAGACTTACAGGGAACCACAGGCTGAGGTGAGAGTCCTGTAGACAGGCAGGGAGGCTGAGTGGCAGCATCTTTGAAAAGTGAATCGCCCCCTCCACCTTTCTGTGCGGGGACACTGTGGTCCATCGGCTGTGTGGAACACCATCCCATAGAATCAGCACATAACCCAGACCTGTTAGTGTCCTGAGCCCAGTGTGAGCAGAGTGAGGAGCAGCATGCACCACTAGAGGGCGGTAGTTGTGACTCAGCCTCTCACAAACTCCATAGGTTTGTTTAGGCTGTAAGCAGCACGGGGCCCAGAGAAACAGCTCAGCAGGAGGTGATGGGAGTCTACTACTAAGCGTGACAATCTGTGGTTAGCCTTGGAACCAACTCGAGAAAGTTGTCCCTTGACCTCCACACTCTTGTCATGGTATGAGGTTTTACACACGTGCACACACGTGCACCCACCCCCCCACACACAAACATAAATGTAAAAACAAACACAAACAACCCAGAATATTAAAAACGTGCCTGGTGAGTGGTTAATCCCAGCACTCAGGAGGCAGAGGCAGGTGAATCTCCCAGTTCAAGGCCAGCCTGGTCTACAGATCCAGTTCCAGGACAGCCAGGGCTATTACATAGAGAAACCCCATCTACAAAAACAAAACAAAAAAGCTCTGGGACACTTGAGAAGTTCCTGAGCATGTGGCCTAAGGCAAAGAAGATGAAAAACCCAAGGTGTTTACTCCTGTTTCTGGAAGGGTTCTTAGCAGAAGGAAGGCCTGGAGTATCAGTGCCTGTGTGTCTTGGAATCGGTCATGCTGGCAGAGACGAATAAGGAGAGGGCGGGGCTTGGCCTAAGTAGCTAAGATAGGTCACAGAGCCTGCATCCTCCCTCAGTCTGACTGACTTTAGGGGAGAGGAGGAGTCTCTCTGGAAGATCTCAAAGCAGACTAGAGTGGGAGTCTGGGCTTTCTCATTGGTCAACGGCTGTCCCACAGTGGGTGACAAACTTCCAGCTGATGGAGGAAAGGCCCTGAGGCAAACAGAAGCATGGAGGGGCCCAGTGCTGGCCACCTGCCTTACAAAATAGCTCCATGAAGAGGAACATCTGGGGCCAGAATAGGTGGGTGAAGAGAGGAGACGTGCCCTAGAGGCAGTAGTGGGCTAGAGAAGGTTTAAGTGGAGGGGCAGCCCCCAGGAAGCCTGACCTGGAGCACTGGTCTGCCTGTGGTTAGGACGCAGGCGTTGCTGGAATGCTGGGTGTCAGATAGCAGGAGAAGAGCAGGTTTGAGTCACCCCAGGGACTGGCTTCCATTGAGAGTGTAAGAGAGCATGTGTCGGAATCCGAGTCCACTGCACGAGAGCTCAAGGGAGCATGCACTGGCATCAGAATCTCAATTTGACACACCTTAGAAGGATAGTTTGTATTTGCGGACTGTGAGAATGTGACAAGCTGTCAACTCCTGGACACACTCTGAAGGTGGGCCAGCAGAATCTACGTATGCACTGAAGAGGGAGAAGCCAGGAGTCACTAACAGCAGGACTGGGACTGGACCCTGTAGTTGACACTGACTGGAGGGCACAGAGGAGCCCAGAAGGGCTGTGCTTGTGGAATGGGGTTCTTCAACCAGGTGTTCTCACAGGCACCGGCCTTTGTGCCACAAGTCCCTGTGGTGATTTGGAAACAGGCTGGTCCCCGGGTTATAACCTAGAATCTGTTGTTTCAGGGAGGTCTCTTATTGTCTGCAGAGCTGAAGTCGCTTGTCCAGTTTGTAAATCTATTGCTTGTTTATACTAAGTTGAGTCTTCCTGAAAAACTGCCCCAGATGCAGTCAGTGTTCTTGTCTGCCAAACTACTGGTCTTTCCCTACTCAGAGCTGCCCTCAGTCTCCAGGATAACACTTCAGGTCCAGCCCTCTCTGCAGCCAGAGATCCTTGTTTTAAATCTCAAAGGTGGGCCAGTGAGATGGCCTGCCAGGGCAGGGCTTTGCCACTAAAATATGAGTTTGATCCCTGGGCCCCAAGGGGAGAACCGACTCCTGCAGGCTGTCCTCTGCCCTCCATGTTTGTGCAGTGGCACATGCCCCCTCCACAAATAAATGTCATTAAATCCTAAAGGTACCGAGACTTCTGTATAAGTTGTTTTTAAAATCTCACTGTGCCTCAATTTCCTGATCTGAAAAGTGGAGATAAGATGGGCTATTGAGGTAGCTCAGTGGGTAAGGGTGCATACATCCTGTCAAGTCTGATACCAGTCTTGAGTGTGATTCCGAGGTCATGTATAAGAAAAGAAGCTTCGCCGGGCAGCGGTGGCGCACGCCTTTAATCCCAGCACTTGGGAGGCAGAGGCAGGCGGATTTCTGAGTTCAAGGCCAGCCTGGTCTACAGAGTGAGTTCTAGGACAGCCAGGGCTACACAGAGAAACCCTGTCTCAAAAAACCAAAAAAAAGAAAGAAAGAAAAAAGAAAAGAAGCTTCTCCTGAAAGCTATCTTCTCACCTCCATATGAACACCATGACACCACACAAGTGCACATGCAAGTGTACACACACACACACACACACACACGGTAAAAATGTTAATTAAAGTGAGGATAAGAATCGTGTGACTCAGGGACTAGTGAAGGTTGAGAATAGTGCAACCTCAATGATCAATAAATGTTAAAGCCTATTCTCTGCATTGCTGTGTGATTGATTAATCACAGGGGAAGGGTGAGCAGCCTGCCCATCCAGACCTGTCATTTACCAGTCGTGTAAACATCGTGGGGCATCTTTACACAATACCAAAGGCTGCAAGTCTCCTCTGCGGCTTTGTTCTGTGAAACACATATGTGAGCCAGAGACCATCTGCAGAGTCAGTGGATGGTTCTAACCATCCACTGTTATCTCTGAGACTGGATCTCAGAATCCCAGATTTGAGCCTAGAGAGAGCTAAGCACCTTTTTGCCCTAGTGCCTTGAAAATGGACTACATTGTAAATTCCTTACATAATAGAATTACCTATGATTCAGAATATGAAGGAGAGCCAGTCTTTTGGAGCACCTCACCCCACTACAGCCCATCTACACATACTACCAGGGAACACAGGGTTCCCTGGCTCCCTAAAGGGAAACTGCTCTGGGGACACACCAACTCGGACAGAGGAGCCTTGGACAAGGGAACCTGTAGATCTGATCTCAAAGCTGAGCTGACTGGGAATTTTAAAAGAGGGCAATCATTCTACAGATAACAAACATGGTTTAAAGCAGAAACTCAGTACAGCAGATAGACCTGAGAACTGGTAGCTTGCCCAAGACAGGTTTGAAGGACCCTCTCAGAAAAGCAGCCAAGGAATGACATAAGATTCAGTGCAGTTTACAAGCTGAGGTTGGGAAAGGTGGCTGAAGGTCCCCTCCACCAGGTTTAGGAGGATATTCGACAAGGATTTTTTTTTTTTTTTTTTTTTTTTTACTTACTTGTTTTTGAGACCAGGCTCACTATGTAGTGCTGCCCTGCTTAGAACTCACTTATGTAGAGTTCTTGGAACTTAACACAGATCTGCCTGTCTCTACCTCCAGAGGGCTACCACACACCTGGCTTGCCACAGACTTAAAAGAAAGAGGTAGGAGGAAGGCTAGGGATCTAAACCAGTGGAAAAGATCTTGCCTAGCATGCTCAGGTCGTGGGTTCGATCCCCAGCACCACTTTTAAAACTGGGATGGGAGTGGAGTTGGGGGTGTCACAGGTCTGGGATTTGGCTAAAGCCATCCAACAGCACAAGCCTTGTGACTTGAGCCCAGGCTTTTTCATCTTCCTACGGGTGTCACAGAAAGAGCACATATGGCAAGGTGCACCAAGGAACAACCCAGGCAAAGGCATGAAATGTGGGAAATGTGTGAGGTTTGGAGGGAAGCGTGAATAGACCAACATCAAAGCCTGCAAGGAAAAGACTGGGTGATTTCCAGCTCTTCTGGGGAGACTTGAGGCCTGGAGACCATAGACAATGTGGTGGTGGGGCAGGCAGGGATAAGTCTGCCGGCAGCCACATGCCTTATAACTGAGATGCAGGTCCAGGGCCCGAACCTCAGCACCGAGCAGTACGGCTCACGGTTTTTTTGTTGTTGTTGTTGTTTTGTTTTGTTTTGTTTTTTTCGGACCTAGGCATGCGCAGACGTCTGCAACTTTTCCTTGGGGACGCGCAAGGCACCCTGGGGACGGGGGCGGAGCTAGGCGAGCACGCGCTTGTGTTTGAAATTCTTTTACCTCACACTTACCCTAAACGTTAGCGGTTAATCCTAAGCCTGATTGGTCAAAGGAAAGGTCCCAAGGAAGACTGAAGCCTGTGAGAGCAGATCCGTAAGGAAACTGGCCCCAGGCTTCCATGGTGAGAAAGAGAGGTCAGAGTGTCTTTTTGTGGGCGTGGGGACGAGAGGGCTGGACTTAATATGGAAGTGGCAAGGGACCCATGCTTATAAATCAGCTTTCTCATCAGAGCTGCCCAGCAAGCTGGTGGCCGTTCCAAGCCTCAGCTGCCTCATTTTCTAGAACCAGTAAACTAAAATCTTAGGACTGACCTAAGCGGGGTGCAGAGTGCCTCTAATGACTGAGCTGGTGTTTAGCGTGGTCCAGTCACTTCCCACGTGTCTAAGTCCCAGCCGTGTGCCGGGCTGTTCTGTATGCTGTACGTGTACAGGTGAAACCATCATCTCTTCAGTAGACATGGTTATGGTACGCGCCAGGTGGAGCTCATGCAGGGCACAGAGAGAAAGGGTGGGCAGTGTGCTTCAACTGATGATAGAAGAGCTTACTGTGATGTCTGAGGCAGGAGGGGGGAAGAGGAAGAGAGGGAGGAAGAAGGAAGGAGGGCGGGAGAAAATAGTCAACTAAAAAGGCTGCTGTTGGAACTCAGTTTGTAGTGTGCTTTGTCTAGCACAAAGAAAGCGATGGGTTTGAACTCCGGCACTGCACAAAGAAGGTGTGGCGGCACAGCCTGTAACCCCGGAATCTGAAGAGTTCAGTATCATCCTTGGCTATACATAGTGAGTTTGGGGACAGCCCGATCTACATAAAACACTCTCAAAACAGAAGCGAGACTGCGGAGATACAACTTACTGGTTAGGAACATTCTATTGCTCCTAACCCGGGACCGAGCTCTGGTTCTCAGTCCTCACGTGACGGCTCATAGGCATCTGTAACTCCAGTTTCTGAGGATCTGGTATCCTTAGATGGGCATGGTGGTGTATGCCTTTAATCCAAGCACTTGAGAGGAGTAGCAGGTGAACTTTTATGAATTTAAGGCTAGCCTGGTCTACATAGTTCCAGGACAACGAGGGTCAGTCACACAGACACTGCCTCAAACAAAACAAAACAAAAATCAAAAAAAGAAGAAAATGTTAAAACAGAAAGGGGAAAAGCTATGTGGGGCAGTGAGCAGAGACCCCCAAGAGACCTACGCAGAGAGGTACCGTGCGTAGAATAGCTGAGGATGTGGCCCAAAGGTAGTAGAGGCAACAGGGCCTTGTGGCCAGGACATCTTGTTCTTTCTCCACAGAGAGCGCCCTTTCCCTGTTTTTCTACTGAGACTATAACCCAGGGCTTCACATGTGCAGATCAGCGCTTCACCCTGAGCTACACCTCAGCACACCCCTTCTAACTGAATGCACAGCTGTCCCAAAACCCATGGAACCAAGGACTGCCACCAGATATAAGGAAAATGTACCCCCAAAGACTGTGGCTGTCCTGAGACCAGGTAAGAAGCTCACTGAGCCTGATACAATGGTGGCAGTGGGTCCTCTCCAGTCACCCACCTAGCTAGCACCTTTGTAGCTCTGGAGATTTGCTTCCCAAGGTTGGCTTGATTGGTACAGCACCACCCACTCCAAGGAAGGATGGAAATGCGGGACCTCAGGAGGGAGAGTGGTCCCAAAGGTAGGGTCTTGAGGGGGCACCCACCTCTGAAGGGTGGAGTTCCTGGAGAATTGGGCCTTAGGAATGTAAGTCTCTGGGCCAGAGTCTCTGGAAGGTGAGCTTCTGGGAGTGAGGGTTCCAGAAGGCTGGAGAGAAGGCTCAGTGGTTGAGAGCCCTGGATGCTCTTCCAGAGGATCTCAGTTCAAATTCCCAACAACCATGTGGCAGCTCACAACTGTCTTGTAACTCTAGTTCCAGGGGTTCTGACACGCTCACACAGGTAATCCATGTGAACAAAACACCAATGCACATGTCTTAGTTAGGATTTTACTGCTGTGAACAAACAAGGCAACCCATAAGGACAACATTTAATTGGGGCTGGCTTACGAATTCAGAAGTTCAGTCCATTATCATCAAAGCAGGAACATGACAACATGCAGGCAGGCATGGTGCAGGAGGAGCTGAGAGTTCTATATCTTCATCTGAAGGCTGCTAAGAGAATACTGACTTTCAGGCAGCTAGGGTAAGGGTCTTAAGGACCACACCCACAGTGACACATCTACTCCAACAAGGCCACACCTCCTAATAGTGCCATTCCCTAGGCCAAACATATACAACCCATCACAGCACATAAAATTTTTTAAAAAGGCTGCAGAGCTGGTTCAGCTGAGGTTATAGAGAGCCCAAGAACAAATTCAGATTCTGATTCTTTATGCCTGGAACAGTTGGGGTCACTGGAGGGCAGCCAGAGGGTGCTGTTAAGAGGTGGAAGTGTTCTGAGACCACTGTGCAAACTGTAGGCTGGTCACCCTTCACTCTTTCCTTTTCTCTCTTTATCCTTCGTTTCAGCCAGTTACCCCCATCTCCACAACCCTCTGTGTACCTTGGTCCTACCTACAGATAACCCTCTCACCAATTCCCTTCTGTTCCCTCCCCTGCCATGTTCCACATAGCCAGGCCTCAAGTCAAACCTTGTCACTGTCTGGTTCCAAGGCCCTGTGCTCTGCACATTGGTCCTCTCAGGCTTGGAGGGCTGAAGTCCTGACTCCTTCTACCAGGACCCCTGCCATTCCCCAGCTCTGAGGCCTGCATACCCGCTTGTCCTACCTGAGAAGACCATCACCTGGTTCTTGCTTCAGGGTGTGGCTGTCTCTGTTCCTTACAGAGCTGAAGAGACCCTGGAGAAACCTGGACATGAGCCTGGGTAATGGAGGAGGCCAGAGGATGCCCAATTGGCAGATCACCACATACTCTCAAGGCCCAGTGCTATGTCAGAAGCCTTACCAAGTGCAAAGCAACCTGGCCAGCCTACGTCCCCACCTGGCCCTTGCCCTGAAGGACACAGCTGGCCGACTAGGTGACGCAGGGCTCTGGCAACAGAGTAACCTACAGCTGCCAGCAGGGAGGTCCCAGGGGAGGACCCAAGAGCCCTTTGAACAGCAGAGTAACCTGTGCTTCCGAGGGACCAGTAGCCCCCATCGGCAGGACAGCTGCCTGCCACCAACTGGCCCATCTTCCCACCAGAAGCAGACACTCCAGGTCGCAGACACCCTCTGCTTGGACTTGAGACTCTCTGGGGGTTTGCCACCTCTTGATGGGCGCACATGGCCTGGCCCTAGGCCCTGGTGTAGTTCAGGAAGCTGGGCACCCAGGCTTGTGGGGGAGCCCCTTGCCTTGGAGGACCTGTCTGTCTTTGCCCACAGTCAATCTCAGGCCCCAACCCTTTCCTCCTGCAGTGCTGCCACCAGGCTGCTGGACTCCATCCAACACCTAGGACCTGAGTCAACCCATTTAGAGAGCCAGACATCCTGGGAGCACCCAGGCTTTACCCAGAGGGGACCCCACACCCGTGATAGCCAGTCAACTCCTGCCCAACCTTGGCCAAGCCACTCTAGGGAACATATAAGCTTCCTGGAGACCCTGGAGGTCCAAGCTAGACTCTCTGAGTCCCCTATATACGAGCCCCTGTCACTTGAGGACACTCTAGGAACACTGGCTGGGGATTTCTCTGACTCAGACCAAGAGGTTCCTTCTACCCAGAACCTTGGGGCAAGAGAGAGGGGTCCCCCAGGCCTTTTATATAACAAGAGGCACAGAGGGCACGTCAGTGTCACACGCAAGGCGGGCAGCAAAGAGACCAGACTTGACTCTACAGCCGTCAACAGTGTCCTGCCTGGGCAGATAGGAAGAGAGAAGGGCCTACAGGAACAAACAGACAGGGACGGAGAGAGGATGGCCTCCTGCCTGTCAAACACAGCTCTGGCTCCGAGCACTCTGCAGGTAGAGGCCTCCAAAGGCTGAGGAGGCGGGGCACTCCCAGCAGATGAGCTTGGCTGAAGTTGTCACTTCTACTCTTTGGTCTGAGAACTGTCATGGTTTTTGTTTCTGCAGAACGAGGCTCAAAGCATTTCGACCCTGGACTCCCAGGCAGCTTGGTGAGGCCCTGGTCTGTGGGGGTGGGAGTAGAGTCGGGGCCACTTCAGCCTCTGACCCATCTGCCTGTGTCATAGGGACTTGAGGAAGTTGGGCATCTGATGGCAGAGCCTTGGCAGGATTTCAAGGGGACAGAACTATCTTCACACTGTCCCTCATGGGAAATCAGGGACCTCCAGGGCCCAAGAACTATGGGCCCAGAATTTCTATGCCCCTGGTTTGGATCACTGGGAACCGTAGACATCAGTGTAGTGGGGAAACTGTCCTCTCTCTGGGAGCCTCTTGCTCTCTGGGAGTCCAGGACATCAACAAGAGAGTTCTTTGGGTCTTCTGCTATGGGAGGGGGCATCACCTTCATGATTACTGGAAAAGTCACAAGAATGGTGTCCTGGGGAGCTGAGAATTGTGCCTACTCCCCACCCCCTCATCTGTCCTGTTGCGTCTCCAGCTGGACGCTGCTGTCCAAAAGTTTCAGAGTCTGGAGGCACTTGTCACAGAGGCGCCAGGCAGTGGCTAAGGCCACAGCTGTGAGACACAGGCAGCTGATTCGAGAGCACCTCAGAGAACTGCACTGGGTCCTATGGCTCCAGGAGGCCCAATTGGAGGCAGCTTGGGGACAGCATGCAAAGGCCCTTCTAGCCCGGAGCTTCCAAGAGGTCTGGGTTCTCCAGGTTGGGGTTTGGGTCGAATGACATGGCTCTGGTATGTTTGAGAGGAGACCACTTCTACTGAGAGAGGACGCCTGCTGGGCCCAGGTTGCTGCTCACAACTGAGCTCGCCACCCCCTTGTCTGTTAGTTTTTGTTGGTTATTTGCTAGCTTGGGCTGAGAGAATGTGTGGATGTTCTTCTTCCTTGGATACTGAGTAAGGAAGGGTGGAAGGTTTGGCTCCAAAGGAAAGCTCTACCTGTTGGGATTCATTCATTCATTCATTCCCGAGGAAATGCGGTAGCCTTGTAGTTTGGGACAGAGCTTTGGTACAGGATTGTGACTCTCAGTTGCCCCTCCCTGTTGCTCTCTGGGGAACCTCATTCCAAGCCTCAGCCAGCATCCTTTTGCCCCTTGTCTTTTGACCCAGTGGAGACGTGTCACTTTGCAGCAGAAACTGGAGCAACCTCATACCCAGGCTGCGCCAACATCCCTTGCTTCTAGGGGAAGCCTTTCCTTGGAAAAAAAAGCAGCCGCAGAACTTGCCTGGAGATGCAGGTAAGCTTGGACACCAAATCTCAGCAATGTGGCCTTAGGCAGCAATGTGGTGGCCTGCCCTCCTCACTGTCATCTGCCCTGCCCCTGCCCACAAGCTTCTTCTACTTAGAACCAGGATGAGGACAAAGAGTTGGACAAAAATATGCCAGTCATGACACCATTTATAATTGCATATATAAAAAAAAGATAGTCAGGGCCCGGCTAACCACGTGGTAAGCTGTTGAGTTCCCAGCCGATATAATGTTTTATTTATTTATATTTTATACTTATTTTTATCTATGCGTGTACTTGAATGGTTGTATGTACACCACATGCCTGCAGATTCCCACAGAGTCCAGAAGGAGGCAGTGGATCCCTGGGAACTGGAGTTACAGGTGGTTTGTGCGCCTACAGATGTGAGTGTTGGTAGCTGAACCTGGGTCTACCGCAAGAGCTGCCAGTGTTCTTAACCACCGAGCCATCGTTCCAGATCCTATACATCTGTGGGCTTTTTAAAAGAAAAAAAAAAAATTCATACCCTCATGTCGCTCCCCCGCCTCCAGCAAGGACGTTTAACACTGGAAGTGACCTAATGACCTAGATATGATGAGTGACATGAGAGATTAGTAGCAACCTGTAAGGGGATGAAGGGACCTGGGTACCACAGGAAGGGAACAGAGTGGTGCAAAGGCCTCAGCAGGAGCACAATGACTCCAGGATCCAGTGTAGTAGTAAAATCTCACAGTCCCAGCTACTAAGGAGGTGGAGGCAGAGGCATTGCTTGAGTCCAGGAATTCAAGGTCATCTTAGGCAGCGTAGGAAGACCAAGGACATTAGGGAGAAAAGCGGCAATAGCAAGCATCTCGAGGGGCCTGGAAATGTTCTGAGATGACTGGAAAAGGCGTTTGGGGTCAGGTTCCTCCTAGGCTTGGGGACCACGGGGAGGAGCTGAGTTCTTAGGAGCAGAGGAGACGACGCCCCAGGAGGCCGAGCAGGTCCTTAAGCCGACTGGACTCAAGATGAAGGAAACGCGCCAGTGGTCACTGAGTCAGAGCCTGCAGAATGAGTCGAGCAAGGGTGGGTGTAGGAGGCCAGGTGGGAGGATGTCAGGGTCCTCCAGGCACTCGGGGACGACATCTGTGGCCTGAGTCGCAGCCTCTTACGGTCTTCCTTCCACCGTATAGACGAGAAATGGCGGCTCAGAAAGGCGAAGGCCGGGGCTCCTGAAGTGTGTGCATGGCAGGGGCAGGGTGGCTGCCGCTGCTGCCAAGAGCTGTTTCCTTCCACTCTGTAGGTGCTTTCGGGCCTGGCAATGGTTGGTGCAAAGAGGGGCCCAGTACAGAGGACTCCTGGCCCACCGGAGACTGAAGACCTTAAGGGTATGCCTGGAACAGTGGATGGAGATGAAGCAGCTCCGGGCCTCAGATGTGACAAGAGTGACTCGGTTTGCCCTCTACTGGCAGAAAGCAGGTGAGCCTGTGGCAAACACAGGGTCCCTTCTCCCTCGAACCGGAGCCCAATGAAACTGGGGGGTGGGGGTGGGGTGGGGGGAATACTAGAGTGGGAGAAGAGTCTGCTGAGCTGGGACTTTTGGGGTGGGAGGAACCTTGCCAGTACTAGAGGTCTGAGAGAGTTCCCAGAGGGAGCAAACCTTGGCTGGGCTGCATCCCTGTCTCCACGTAAGCTGTTCTGGGCAGGGGGCTCTTCTGGGTTAGCACTAGGCTATCTTATGTTCTGCCCAGAAAGCCTGTGGCTCTCTGCTCCAGAAAGCCCCCAGTGTGAGGTAGGACACACAGTCTCTTCCTGGGCTGGGGAAGGTGGGGTCTTGAGGCAACCATGTGGGGAGCATGTGGAGGACACAGGAAGGTCATGCCCATGATGGGGCCTGGGGCTGCAGCTCTATGTTTGTGACCAGGAACTTAACCACTTCCTGTCCTCTTCCCAGGGAATGAGGTTCTCAGCAGCTTAGTCCCAGGAACTGCCATGGCTCATTGCCTGGAGACAGAGGCCCAGGCCCAACAGCTATCCAAGGGTCCAGATCAGTGCTCTCCGTGGGAAATCTGCCAAAAGTTGGCCCTGTACCAGGCCCTGCTGCTCTGGAAGACACGATTCTACCAGCACCAGCAAACTATGTAAGCATCTAGAAACTGATGACCCAAGGTCAACCTGGGGCATGGTGGGTACATGATCCATGTCCTTTAGAGCCTGGTCAACAATCCCAACCTTCCCATGGCCTTGACAGGAGGCCTGATATGATACATTGTGTGGCGCAGCAGATTTCAGGCTCTGGGAGGTGGCATGGGACCTTGAGACAGTGACCAAGCAGAAAGCTCCTGGGGGCACTTTCCCCCAGCTGCCATCTCAAGGATTCTGAAATCAGGCTGATTGTCAGCTCTGGGGAGGCTGGGGTCATCAGAGGTCAGCTTTTCTTTCTTTTCTTTGTTTTGTTTTGTTTTTGTTTTTTGAGACAGGGTTTCTCTGAGTAGCCCTGGCTGTCCTGGAACTCACTCTGTAGGCCTTGCTTATTCTTTTGACTATTTGTGTTTATTGTCTTGCTTGTTCCTTGACTATTTGCATCTATTATATTGCTAGTTCCTCAACCTAGAACTGATCTTAATACTTGCATATAATTAGAATGGTATAAAAGCAGATTGGGAAAAAATCTATAATCAGAAAGAAAGAGAGAAAGAGAGAAAGAAAGAAAGAAAGAAAGAAAGAAAGAAAGAAAGAAAGAAAGAAAGAAGAAAAGTGGGGAAAAAACGGAATTCACTTCGTTCTAGCAAGCATTGTGGCATATAGTTCAGGATACATAGTTCAGGATGACTACACCCTCTTGGCAACCCTCCTGCCTCAACTTCCTGAGTGGGGGAATTACAATCACAAGCTACAATGCCTGGCTTGTGTTTTGATTGTTTCTGGTTTTGTTTTGCTTTGTTTTGTTTTAACTGAGTCCCCCACAAGAGGGCAGTGTGCTGGGCAGTCACTAGAGTGACCTGTTTGTGTCTTTTGTGGGGCCAGGCATCAGGTCCTCAGACTCATCCCAGTCAGCATGCGTCCACCACTGAGCTACGACACCATCATTTCTTGAGGTTCCGAGTGATCCTTTGGTTTCCAGGGGCTACAGTTTGCCAGCTGGAGTCTCTCACTGCAGGCCTGTCCCAGTCATGGGTGCTAGGTTTCCCCGGGACCCACCTGCCTCCCTCCTTCCCCTAGCTCCTTTCAGGGCATGCAGAAGCGGGTTCTACAGCACATCCTGAGCCAGTGGCACTTGAGGGTCTGGGATCCAGACCCTCCCTCAGGCGACATGAAGACCATGTTAGCTCTGGAGGCATGGGGCAGTAGCCCAGGATGGGAGGAGGCCTGACTGGGCTGTAGAACGTCAGGAGGGGCACTGGAGGAGGTGAAGGGCTGGAGCGGGGTGGAGATGTGGAGACCCCTCCTCCCCAGCTTCCTAGGCCCCCACCCTCCTGGAGGCCTTTCTGGTGGGTATCCTGAGAGCAGCCAGGTAGCAGAGCAGGGGCTGTGCCCTCTTCCCTGGCAGGTGTATCTCCACCAGACTCTGGATGCAGCGAGGTTTTACTGATGTACGAAACCCCTCCCCAGGAAGGGGGGACCCCATTGTCCATTGAGTAGTGGACTCATTTCTTCCTGCAGCTCCTCTGACCCATCCTTGGTCTTCCCAGCAACAGCCCCGTCGAGTCTGCATATTCAGGGGGCTCCCTGCTCACAGCCCAGTCAGTGTGGTCCCCAGAATCTCACAGCACTCTCCTGCTGTGAGGGGTGAGGGGTAGTCTGGCAAGGCAGTCTGCAGTGTCTGTTTCTCTCCTCTGGCTGTGTGATTTGGAGCAAGTTACCTAACTTCTCTGTGCCTCTGCTTTCCTAGCTGTAAAATGAGGACAATTACAGTACCAACCCCGAGGGGTGAGCACTGGGCCTCAGAAGTTGAGGGCCCTTTTGTAGTCCTGTCACCTGTCATTGTTGGAAGGGCCCCAGATCCCTCTAATCTGTTCATCAGAGCCAGGAAAAGATCCACCCAGGCCATACCTGTTGCCAAGGGGAGGAAGGAAGAGGTGAGGCTGGCCCAATGGCTGTGCTCAGAGTGGATATTCCCCTTCCTCCCCAGTGTCCTCCTCAGCTGGAGCCACTGGACTGCAGTTCAAGGGGCCTGGGGAGAGCTAGCTGCTCACTGGGCCCGAGATCGGAGCTGCAGGACTGTGATGGGTTTGTGGAGGCGGCGGCTGGCGGGGTGGTGGGCAGTGCAGGAGCGTCCAGGAGCGAGGCCAGGGACTGGTGTGAGTGGCCCCGAGCCACCCACTCTCCTGTTAACAGAGGGAGCCAAGGACTGGGTGGGGACACCTGGGAGAGGAGAAGGCCAGGGTCCTTTGGTGATGCTCTGAGTTCCAGAGCCATCTCAGAGCCCAGGATTGAATCCCGGAGGGTGCATCCAGGACCGGGTCTCTGCTTTTTTCATTTCTGCTGTGTGGATCTTGAACAAGCCACTTAAGCACTCAGTCTGTGCTCAGCCATCTGTAAACCAGGAATAAGACTGTGCACGCCTCACTAAGTGCCTGTGGGGATCCAATCAGGCTGTCCACAGCAAACTCTGGGCCGGAATATCAGCACCTCCCTCTTCTCCCGTCACTGTTGCCTTGCCTGGCCTCCAGATGTTGCTGGCCTAAGCTCTAAGGTCCAGGAAGACAGAGTCCTGGTGCTCTCAGGGCCATGATGCAAGTTAGGCAGTAGGTTGGGGGGGGAGGTGTAGAAGAAACAGGCTTGCTACACCTAGCAAGCAGCCTGTGTACGGAAGGAAGGGGATGAATTCTCTCTAGCTTCCCAGAATCCCAGCTCAGCACACAGAAGATCCTTTTCTTTGTCCTCAGTTTGACACCAGCCAAGTTGTAGTCACATCTCCAGGAAGCTCCCACCCCTTCCTGAGCAACAAATAGTTAATTCGTTACGTTTTATGTAACTGATTAACCTCAGTCCTGGGGCTAGAATCCAGCTCTCCATTTACCACTGAGCCACACTCCCAGCCCCTGTTCTGGCTTTGTTTTAATTAGTTAATTAGTGGGTTGTGTGTGTGCCACAGCTCTTGTGTGGAAGTCAGGTCTCACCATCACGAGTCCTGGGGATTAAACTCGGGATGCCGGGTTATACTTTTAAACCACAGACTTTTAGTATCTCATGATGTCAACAGAGCAAGAGGGAGTCTGATGGCTTGGGGGGCCCCCTCTCTTTCTTTCTCTCCCATCGGGCTGCCAATGAGGGGTCACCCAGGGCTGGAGCTACATCTGAAAGCTCTGTGGGGACTAGCCAGCCACCCACTTCTTAAGTTCCCTTGTCGGGGTGCTGGTAAGTCTCACCACAAGGCATCTGCAGAACCCACTCATCCGAGGTGAGTGACTCAAGAGACAGTTTTGAGTTTCTCTCTGTCTCTCTGTGTCTCTGTCTCTCTGTCTGCCTCTCTCTCTCTCTCTCTCTCTCTCTCTCTCTCTCTCTCTCTCTCTCTCTCTTTCTCTCTCTCTGCATGCATGCATATATGCCTCCATGCCAGAAGAGGGAGAGTCATCATGGGGTTGCTGGACCTCTTGCTTGTACTCAGGACTTCTAGAAGAGCAGACAGGGCTCTTAACCACTGAGCTATCTCTCCAGCCCAAAGCTCCCGTCTCTTTACAACCTAATCCTGTACCTTTACATGCTGAATCATCTTGCTAGCTCATTGGCAGCCATTTTCAATGTCCCGTATGCCCACGAGTCACAGCAATGACCTGTTAGGCAGATTTGACTGTCTTAGACAGCTGGTGTCCTGCACACTGGGGACAGCTGCTTCTCTGGCTCAATACTTGTCTATCAGGAATGAACGTCAAATCTTCCGGTTTTAAAAGAGAAATTGGAATCTAAAGTTCCAAAGAAGGTTTCTTTTCTCTTTAATCATGTATGCATATGTGTATTTATGTGAATGTAGACCACAGGCATGCTGGTGCCCTCAGAGGCGACCCCTCCTACCCCACAAGCCCCTCCCTCTGAAGTCATCTCAGCTACGGCCTGCCGCCAGTCCCTAGACACAACCTTCTGAAGAACCTGGGGGTGGACTTGTCCCCAGCCCTGGTACTGCTGGGAATGGAACTCAGGCCTCTGGGAAAGTAATACAGGCTCTTACTGCAGAGCCATCTCTCCAGCCTCTGGAGATCTAGATTTAAAGTTTATTTTCTTATTGTTTGAAGACAGGGTCTCTTGTGGCTGAGACTCACCTCTGGTTTGCTGTGTAGCTGACTGAGGGTAACTTCAAACTTTTTTTTTTAAGATTTATTTCGTATATGTGAGTATACTGTCTTCAGACACACTGGAAGAGGGCATCAGATCCCATTACAGATAGTTGTGAGCCACCATGTAGTTGTTGGGAATTGAACACAGGACCTCTGGAAGAGCAGATGATGCTCTTAACCGCTGAGCCATCTCTCCAGCACCAACTTTGAACTCTTGATTCTCCTATACTCACCTTTCAAGTGCTGGGCTTATAGTCATGGGACACCATGTCCTGGATTTTGCAATACTGGGGATCGAACCCAGGTCTTTATACACATGAGACAAAGCAAGTACTCTTGCAACAGAGCTATATACCCAATCCCTAGATTTTTAAAACTGAATCCTTCCAGTGCCTAAACATTGTCAAAATCTTCAACAAAAAGTCTAGGAATGGCATTCGCTGGGGAGTGTGGGTTTAGCATGGGTGACATTCTGGGCTTGGTCCCCAGCACCCAGAAAAATAAACCAAACCAAACCAAAATAAAATAAAACAAAACAGAGCTTCAACTTCGTGAATACATTACCTGGTGAACAAAAGCATTTTAGTCAGGCAGAGAGTGTAGGGCAAAGGGCTGCCTGAGCCGGGCACAGGGAAGAGGCCCAGTGGCTCTCGGTTTCTGTGGCCCCAGGACAGCAGTTTCTCCGAGAACAGTACCAGGGGTGGGTACAAATCCACCTCCAGGTTCTTCAGAAGGTTGTGTCTAGGGACTGGCAGCAGGCCATAGCTGAGATGACTTCAGAGGGAGGGGCTTGTCGGGTAGGAGGGGTCTGACCTTGCTACTTGGGAAAGGCAGGCAGCCCAGGGCATGAAAGGCTCTGGGGATTCCAGCTAGAGGCCTAGGACTTAGGTGGGGTGGAGACCTGAAGAGAAAGTTGGTTTGAGCCAGAGCAATGGTCAGCTGCCTCTGGTAATAAGCCTCACAGTTCACCTCCTGACCAGGCCATTCCTATGCCTTTAACAGGCCAGTGAAGGTGACAGAGGTAGGCGTTTCCTTTAGCTGTGAGGAGGTTCAGGCCCCCAGTCCTCTTAAAGTGGCCAGAAGAGGGTGAAATCATATAGCTCAGGCTGTCCTCCAATTCCCTGTGGTTAGCCAAGGATAGCTTTGAATCTTGATCTTCCTGCCTCTATATAAGGCATGCTGGGCTTATGGGCATATGCCACCATGCCTAGTTTATTTGGTGCTAGGGATTGGACCCCAGGCTTTGTGCATGTTAAGAAAGCCCTTTACCAATTGAGTTAGATTCCCAGCCCTTGCAAAGGCTTCAGTCTGGGCTAGCCTCAGAACCCCCCTGCTTCAGTGCTGGGATCACAGGCATGTCTGCAGGTATCATTTTGAATAAACACAAAACCCAACTGAGAACCGACACCCCCAACCCCCACAGCTATTTCCAGGCCTGGTATGACCATGTGAGGGGCTTAGGAATGTCTGAGGACCAGCATGAAGGCTTCCAGGACAGCCTGAGAAGAGACCTGGGAGACACTTGATAGCTCGAAGGCAACCTGTAGAGCAGGGACCCTGGCACAGAACCAGCTTGTGGCCTTTGTCCTGGTTGGAGAAGCTTTGTGCAGCAGAGTGGAGTTGTCAGGCAGCTGTGGAAGACCCCGGCCCAACAGGCTTCTGTGGTGTGGCGAGCCACCCTAGGCCAGTGCCGTGAGGCCGAGCAACAGGCAGGAAGGAGAGCTCAAGTCTTGACCTCAGCCCAGGTGGCCCTGTGCTGGGTCCTGTGGATGTTTCAGTCCTGCCTAGGCTGGATCCACCAAGCTCATGCTGCCCAGCAGCCAACAACCCTGTGAGTGCCCGAGGCCGGCGGGCAACCTCACACCACGCTTCCAGCTTAGGTTTTGAACTTGGATTTTGGTCATGGGGAGCACATTGGGTGGCTGAGTGGTGCCTGTCTGAGTATCTGGCTATCAGGAGGACTGAGACATCCTGATCTTTGGAGTGGATCCCAATTCTGTCACTTTCTAGTGTGACCCATCCTTGGAAAAGCTTCTGACTTCAACGGCCTTGCCTTGTACCCTGGGCAAGTGTGTGCATGCACTCAACAGAAGTGGGCAATGCACTGGCATTTCCCAGGGGAGGGGACAGGATGTAGCTGTTAGGACTGCCCTCTCTGTCCCTTGAAACAGGATGGTTGCCTCTGCTGTGTGATATTTTTTCCCTTCCTGGTACTTCCTAGGCATATTTAGTGGATTATCCAGAATCAGGATGGGAGGGGCCCAGGCCTGAGCATTTGCCTTTTGCAGAGAGCCCTTGAATCCTGGCTCTAATAGGCTTCTCCTTTTTCTCCAGGGTCCCAGAGGTCTGGATGCGGTTAGCGGCCCAGGCTTATGTCCGACAAGCTGGTATCACCCAATGCTGGCAGGGCCTTCGGTGTCTCCTTAGGACCCACCGGGTTCAGTCTCAGTCAACTCTGGTGGAACAGAAGCTGGAGCTACAGCCCCAGGCACAGGGAATGGACTTAGGGCACTGGCTGAGGCTGGCCAGCAGAGGGCAGGCACCTCCTGCTACTGATGGACACTCTAAACCTTTGGATGCAGGTGAGTTTGTGTGTGTGTGTGTGTGTGTGTGTGTGTGTGTGTGTGTGTGTGTGT